TCTCCAACTCCTACACCGGCCCCACCGCCCACAGCGATCTCCACGCGCCTCCACCGGTCTCCACCAACACCGGCCTCATCGCCTCCACGCATGGGTCTCCAACACCGCCCCCCCCCTCCACAATGACGCACTACAAAGGCGTCTAAGGTCCCGGTGGCAAAGAAGATCCCGAGAAAAGAGTTATTTCTCAAGAAATACTTCTTGAAAAGACTGATGAGCAAATAGCAGCTAAAGAAGACAAAAAGTGAAAGATTTTTTTATAGATATCAAAAACAAGAGTCAAGCGAAGCTTAAGGAGAAGCCGTACTTTTACATACCACGAGATGTCTTTGAGGCGGAAAGGTCGATGCTCACAAGAAAAAGATGATTGAACCGTAAGCCTTCGCCACTATCGGACTATGACCGCTCCTCGTGAAGTCACATGATGCAGATAAGAAAAGGAAAAGAGCATCAGGGAAGGATGTCCAACAGCTCAGACAACAGAAGCAACCAATGTAAAATCTTGTTATTGCTAATGAATATGGTTCCAACATAGAAGTCTATCGACCAGACAACTCTGAAGAAGTGTCGGTTCAAGCCCTTAATGCTTTTTTTGAAGATACTGGTTTAACCTTGGATCAATTGACGGGCAAAGCTCCAATCCAGAACCTGGAAGTTGATACCTGGAAGACTTATAAATATGGAAAAAGTCTGTACAACCCTGCAGCTCTGAATGAATTGGGTACGCAAATATACTTGCTCAACAAGTGGTACATGCAGGCGTGTGGCAGGGGTGAGCAGTGGATCTTTGTCATATTTAGAGACCATCATTACTTCCGTGGCGATGACATCTTACATATTAGTTTCGAAGAATTGCATCAACTATACCACATGGACGCTCTGGACAAATCAATCATTAGCTCCTTTTGTTTGTAAGTGATTCTTACTTTTATTCAATAAACTCACTTCCATGCGTACGTGTATATAATTATCCTCACATGTAACTTATATTTATATACAGATTCCAGATGTCAGAGCTCCAAAGAATATAAGACACCAGTGTTGGCTTCATTGATCCTTATATCGTATTCAAAACCGGTATTATTGTCAAGGAGCGGTGGGTATCTGAAGCACAGGAGAATATCATGATGTTCTTCGTGAAGCAGCACGACAAGACAACAATACTTTTCCCGTACAACTTTGAGTAAGTGTTAATAATAATGTAGTCTACACATTTTATGTAATATCAATACAACTTATATGCATGTACGTGTGTGTATAAACTAATGCATGTTTCACTGGATACTCATTGTCATTGAGTTAAACTCAAGTCGGTTAGTAATCTTTGACTCGTTGAGAAAAGAGCGGGCACTATACCAAGATATGATAGACATTATCCAGGGGTAATTTCGATCTCTCGCGCACAACTATTATTGAATAGACTTTGCCATAATTTATTAACGATCGTACATTATTGGTCGCATAGGGTTTGGAAAGAGTTTATTCGGCAACATCGCAAGGATTGCAAGGCACCACTTAATGTAGTTGAAATACCAGTAAGTTGTACTATATACACTTCCCCACGTGTTTAATTACTATATCGTACTTCAATTTACATGTGAGATGATGAGAATAATCTTCTTCTCGTACAGTGGTGTTTGCGGCAACAACCAGGTAATAACTTGTGTGGATACTACGTTTGTGAATTTATCACTGCGCACATAAGAAGAACTCCTAAAGATGTCCTCAGAGTACGTATATATCAATTTTTATTTATTTTTAAATGAATATATATATATATTAATATTTTTCCTTTTATTTCAAATGCAAGACTGAATGGTTGAAACGAAGGGTCATGCAAAAAGACCATCTGAAAGCAGTTCAAGAGTCAATAGCAGGATTTCTTCTAGAAAAAATGCTAAATCCCAACGGCGAGTTTTACTTTGATCCTAAGGAATAAATGATGTAAATTAAATGTTTATTGATATCGTTATTTTTGAGAACAAGATTATGAAAGTGTTGTATATATACATATATATATCTATAATATATATAGGTTCATACTTTATTCGAATATAATAATGCTCATGATGAGAATTAGATGTAATTATATGCATGCGTGTATTTATATTAGCAGCGTAGAATACGTACATAAAAACATATTATATATTAAACAAATACGTGTAACTGAACTGAAAACAAATTAAACAAAAAAAAAAAGAAAAAGAACCTTTAGTCCCGGTTGGGTTACCAACTGGGACTAAAGGGTACGGCCACGTTTGCTTAGTTGGAGGGCCTTTAGTCCCGGTTGGTAACACCAACCGGGACTAAAGGTCCCTCTTTAATCCCGGCTCGATGACCCGGGACTAAAGGTGGCACCTTTAGTCCCGGGATCGTTGTCCCAGCGCGGTAACCGGGACTAAAGGCCGTTACCGCCCGGAACAAGTCCATTCTGTAGTAGTGGTATATTCTTTACAGATCCTAGCGCCGACTACAAGTACTCGGACGGGGCAGCGGGATACATATCCTCAAATGATGCATTCAAATTTCTTCGATAAGAAATTGCAGAAAAGACCCTCCAACTCTTTGTTCCAAATAGCAAGAGGCTCGGGGGCTACACTTAGTGAGTGCACTTTTCTAGAAAGTGCACACCACTCGAAGATCTCAAGAAGCGCTATATGGTTTCTTTCGAGAAAGCACTCGGACGACGCTTGTTTCTACTCGACAAGACCTGGAGGAACAAGAAGGCTTTCAAGTTCAACCATACGATGTTCAGGGGCTTATCGGTGCAGGGCCCTAGGGGTACCTCGCAAGAAAGGGAGAAGATCTAGTCCGACTAGAAATTCCCCATATGTAATTATAGTAACATTGTAATCCTGTAATCCTACTAGGATTTTTACATTGTAACCGACTAGAAAACCTGACTCCTGGGCAATATAAATGAGAGCAGGGCTCCCTAGATCGGCATAGCAAAGAGGAACATACCCCGTCGAGTTCTGCATACGCCGAAGCCCACCAACCATCGTCCCGGGTAACCCCGTGACAAGTTGTCGGTCATCAAACACCGACACATGGACTACTTGATAACTAGATGCAAGTTGCCATTATTATTTCGATCATCATTTGTTACTTTGAGTGCACCGCAAGCAAACCCTAGACTAGTTGGTCAGGCTATGCACTTTGCACTCTGCCGCCTAGAGTTTGAACCCCCTCAGGGGCAGATTTGTTGGTCTGAGGCGTAGTTTATCTGTGCGTTGAAAAAAATCCCCTTGTCTGCCCCACGCCAAAACATGGGTCTAAGGCCAGTCCAGTCTCACGGGAGCTGCTGTGCCGCTGTGTATGGGTGGGACATAGGTTCGGGGATTTTCTCGACCTATGAGAAAGTCTTCTTCTTAAGCACAGTACCCAGGACTGTTTTACGCGGGTCGAGTTTTTTTTTTTACTTTGCGTGCACTATGCCGCTGGAGTTTTTATTTATTTTTACTGAAGAAACGACGCGTCTGATACCAATATTGATGATTGATGAAACCATGGGCACCAACCACGGTTTTGGTCACGCATGGCTGTATAGGCGACACCGACCGTAGTTGTTTTCTTTATAAAGAAAGACTTCATTGATTTTTTTTCCCAAGAACTGTCCGAGTCTTATTAGAGTTTCAGACGGATTTCATACTCATTTATACGAGGGTCATGTTAGCAAAAATGATGAGGTGAGATATAAATTAAAAAGAAGATGGGTTTCATCCCTACTAAACTTAGTTGTCACTGTTTCCTAGTGAATAAAGCGTCAACGAAATCTGCATTAATGGTTCACATTTCCTTCCCATGTGTTTTGGCTCGCATTCTCGCTACACACCACGTCTCCTATATTTATCATATGCATATGTAATATGTAATTTGTTCTACATATAATATTGAAATAGATTAAACTAAACTATTTTTTTATATTTTTTTATGCTACTACTTGATTTAGATAGCATTGCAAGTGGCTATATTATTCATACGACACATTTAGTCACAACACCATGTGATAACTAATGTTACAACTAGTCTATGAAATTATGGATTGAAAAAGGTTGTTTCATGTCCCAATTTAAAAGGGTTAACCCAGGATTAAATATATGGACTTTAGAAGACTTATATATTGATTTAACCCACTCTTAATTAACAACTAAAAGATACGACTAAACCCCACAGCCTTATAAACAATACACAACACATGAACCACTGTATAATATGCCAAATTCAATATGTGCCGAATGTAAGTACTTTTTATTATTAACAGAAGCATTTTCTAGATCTAAAACAAACAAAACTAGATCGGTAGATGCCATTCGGCTTGCAAACATAACTAACTTCTTATCAGAAGAAAATTTCATACTAGTTTTTACTGATATCGGTAGATGCATCCAGGTGATATGCATGGTTTTACTGATATCCCGATATAATGTACATATTTCAAAGCCAAAACAATTTACAATTTAAAATGGAGGAAATATCATTCTAGAAACTATAAATATCACCCGGTAAGCCTCTAAATAAAAACTTTTCCATGAATGAATGCTGTAACGACCAAATTTTAAATTACATGTTAAGCCTGTGCATCGTAAGTATCTCTAGAAGTTTTGAGATTGATTTGAGTGCTTTCAAAATTAATTTTAAATTAAAACCTTAATTTTTCGCATGTGACTTCCCAAGAACAATGGCATGACTTAAATACACAATTACACATACACAGATACTCATACTCTATAAATATTTTACTTCATCCACCTATAAATCGTGACAGTAACCGAACAAAAAAGCTTCCATCTGCTAAATAGAACTGGTGATATAAGAGCAATCAGTACCGAACAAGCGTCTCAAGTTATTCCTTCTGCAGATGTCACAATTCTAGCAATGTGGCACTGCAGACAAGTACCAAACGTTGATCTATGAATACATTGGCATAAATCTCATAGTAGAGTGATCCAATGCAGGCAATATGATAGAAACGCCAGCGAGGCAGGAATGCTAGGTGTCTACTCTGACAGGGTCGACTTCAGCTCTCCGCTCTTCTCCATCTCAAGAATGATATCACAACCCCCAATCAGCTCTGATTTGTAGTAGAGTTGGGGAAAGGTAGGCCAGTTGGAGTATGTCTTCAAACCTTGTCTAACTTCCTCGTCAGATAAGATGTCAAAGGACCCAAAGCTGACCCCTTCCTTCTTCAAGGCGTTCACAACCTTCGAACTGAAGCCGCAACGAGGAGCATCTGGGGTGCCCTTCATGAAAAGCATCACCGGGGCAGAGGAAATCAGGGACTTCAATCTGTCCTCCAGACTTTTTTTTGGAATAACCCCTTTCTCAGACAGGACCTTCTTCAGCTCACCACTCTTATGCATCTCCATCACTATGTCTGAGCCGCCAACGAGTTCACCTTTTATGTACAGTTGAGGGTAACTGGGCCAGTTTGAGAGCACCTTCAGTCCCTGTCTAACCTCATCATCTGAAAGAATGTCAAAACTGGAGAAAGGAATGTTCTCTTGCTTAAGTATGTGAAGCAACTTCCCACTGAACCCACACTTTGGTTCCTCAGGTGTACCTTTGATGAATACCATCACTGGGCTGGAATTAATAAGGCTTTCCAAACGAGCTTTCTGAGCATCAGTAAGCCCGATTGGTTCAGCAACTGCACCACCCTTCTCAGTTGCAGACCCAGGTTCACCTGCTTCTTCATTTTGCTGCCCTGTGGTTTGAGGGGAATATTGTGCTCCTCAAAAACATCCTTCAATTCACCAGTGTCATGCATAGCAATAACGATATCACATCCACCAAGCAGCTCACCTTTGCAGTAGAGTTGAGGGAAAGTAGGCCAGTTGGAGAACTTCTTCATTCCTTCACGAACATCATTATCTGTAAGAATGTCAAAACTCCCAAATTTGACTCCTTCCTGCTTCAAAATGTCAACCACTTTACGGCTGAAACCACACCTTGGTTGTTCTGGGGTTCCCTTCATAAATAAAAACACAGGATGGGAATTGACAAGCTGCTCCAATTGCTTATTCAATGCATCTTCCGTGCTACCAGAGTTTGTGCTTTCAGCAGCAGAAGAACCATTTTGTTGTGCTATCTTTTGGATCTTTTCAAGTACAGCAGGCCCAGCAGCAACTCCGAGGCTAGCAGGTACAGCAGACTCAGCAACACTAGCAGGCCCAGCTACTTTTGCAACCTTATTGGCTAGGCTGGCTGGGTTTGCTCCCTCCAAAGTATCGACAGTTTTACCTTCCTGCAAGCAGACAACATATGCATGAAAAGGGGCACTTCTCTCACAAAAAGATCAGCATACAAGTGTTCAAAGCAGCCAGTAACAAACATTAAGCATTGCAAGGAACTCCTGAAGTTAAACAACCAAAAGAATGGTTCTTTGGCACACCAGGGCACGCCCGAATTTCATTAATCATTACCAAAGTGACAAAATTACAGGGTTTGCCACACACAAGAAATATCTACATACTCCCTCCGTTCCAAATTATAAGTCGCTTTGAATTTTTTGGTTCATCCATTTTGCTCTCTAGACATATTATTTATCTAAATGCATAGCAAAATGGATGTACCAAAAAAGTCAAAGCGATTTATAATTTGGAACGGAGGGAGTACATAATACAAGCACTATAGAAAAGTAATATATTAGAAGGTTTTCCATGCAAAATTTAATTGTATCATACCATCATGCAGAATTAGGACACAAGACAACCAAATCTAAGAGGCAGTGACCACAGATAAAATCAACTAATTTATTATTTGTAGCAAACAAATTACAATGTACGCAGATATCACAATTATTGGAGATATATAAGTCCTACCGAAGTCCAGAGTCCACATGCCATGACGCTGTAACTAAGAAAAAAAAAGAAACTATACAAGCATCCTTTGTGAAATGTACTCGCAAGCATTCCACAGGTTGAGCCACTGAGATCGCAGAGAACACTTCATTTGGCACTATGAAGCCTTTAATCACTGAAAGCCTATATAGCCTACAAAATCATACTACACGCCTAAGCCTAACCACAATCTGTGCATCCAAATGGACTCTTTGGCATAGAGTACAGAAAATTAGTGAGAATAAACTTGTACAAAAATTCAATGTATGCAGACTCCAGTTTTTTTTAATGAAAAAACAGGAGCTCTAGCATTCAATTAAGAAGGAAAGAAGAGGTGGATCATCCCCATGCCAAACTCAAGCAGAAAACCTAGAAGAGCACTAAACTTGCCAATAATGGAAACCTAACAAGGGCTCAAGTGAAAATGGTTTAACACCTACAAAGTTATTATTTAGTATACATTATACAAAAGAGAATATCTCTGTTGTGGACACAGATGCGTATGGCTCTGAGAACCATGGCCAGGACTCATCATAGGGCAGCTAGCTGGGTACTCTTCTCCCATGCCACGAGTCAAGGCTCAAACAAGCAAGGAGAGACTAGAGACTATCAGTGCCTGATTTCAATGGATCCCCTTTATAGGATGGATTGACCAGTTGACATGGTTCTATCAAGACCAAGAAAAGTTTTCTAATGCATGGAATCCATTTGAAACAAAATAAAATGACAGGATAACTAATCATTGTATCCTAAGTATGAACTAATCTATCTTCCAAATAATGATGCATCACACAGTTCCTCATCAACAGTGCTTGGATACTACGCTGCACATAAAAGTGAATAGTCTGCCACAGTAATACTGTAGTGCCAATTAGGAGGGTTTCAACATGAGTATAATGAGGGTTTCAACATGAGTATAATGAGAAAATTGAAGACATGGATCCAAATCATCTTAACCACTTGCCATAATAAAAGAGTGGATCTCATTAATTAAACATTGTACTCATGATGTCATGATTGGAAGTAAAAATATATGCGGTTATTCAACTACCATGAAGATGACAAGTATCATGATTCCATCAGAAGTATTGTGCATAAAAAAGGGGGAAAATGTTTATCGACAAGAAGCAAGGCCGAATTAATTCGGTAATTGTGAATACCTTGTAGAAAACAAAATATGGCACCGCTGAAACTCCATGTGCCTCTGATATTTCAGGTTGTTCTTCAGCTTCAACCTGAACAAAAGTCATCACTCATCAGTGCAAGAAACAAATAAGCAAACAATGTAGCACCCTCCTAATTATGTTGACAGTAAACAAGCAATAACTGGACACAACAAGGGACATAGAAGTAACCCCTGAACATATATAAATGAAAAAAATGATAAATGGTTAAAAGATCAGTCTTATTATTCAGTGATTCAGTGACTAGACCAATGAAAAAAACAGATGGATACTAGATTAAATTAAATATATTTGTGTTTATCCCTCTTAAATTAGTTCATAGCTCAATGGAAACAGTGAAATATCACAGGCTCAACTTGGCTGGATTCAACAGAGTGTTACTACCTCATCTCAGCATGGCACTATATAAAAACCACACCAGAATTGTTTAGCATCAAACATACAAGCAGGCTACTGAGGATACCATTTGTTTAGGCAGTACCAAATATACAGCGCCAGAGTTTAATATTTCCATATGACTTCTTATAACACCAAAGGCATACCAAATACATTAACAGATTTTAAAATCACTAATGAACAATCAAAATTCACATTGGACGCATAACAATAACAGGATACCCGGGGGGGCTCCCCTTGTTATGCGTCCAATGTGAATTTTGATTGTTAACTCTAACTCTAGCACAGTACCAAGTTAAAGCACCTTAAGTTTGACTAACTATAAATATCAATATTTATGATATTAAATAAGTATCATTGGATTTGCCATGAGATATATTTTCATAGTATAATTATTTGGTGTCATAAATATTAATATTTTACCTATATACTTGGTCTTTTGTTTTGGTCACGGTGTCGTTGAGTAGTTCGCTGCGTGTTTTGGACTGTTGCTGCCGGTTGGGGGAACCTCTCTGTTCCTTCCAACTAGGCAAGGATTTAGGAGGTGGTCGTTTTATTTCGTTACTAAAAACTGCTGTAATTTCGTTGCTCCAAAGTAATGAAATTCGGATTCGTCCATTGTGGAAAGAAACCTTATATACTTGGTCAAACTTTAGACACTTTAACCGAGAATGCACCTAGAATTGCATTCTTTTTGGATTGGGGTAGTAAATCAGTAGTGAAAAATATAATTGAAACCAGGCCATAAGCATCAGCAATGCAGAATATCAAACATAATCCCAAAATTTTGAGTACTCTATGAGCTAAAAAGTAAGGCTACCACAACTTCACCGTTAACTAAGGACTAGGTTACGATATGTTTCAAACTATATTATAAACAGATAATTCAGGCACAGAAGTTCTTTCATGAATTATTTCATTGACAGACAGAACAATTGAGTTTATCAATTTAGAATACCGAGCTCTCATTTTGCACTCTTGGACAAACGCGCAACGTTGCCTAACAAAGAGGGAGAAAAGTCTCACAGTAGAACAAAGCAGCCCAACAAGCAGCAGTAGAAACCTAACTACCTCCGCCATATCGACACTAAAAACCCTAAAGTCTTGCTACAAATCCAATCCACAAGACGCCTCAACGAAACCATCCATCGGCGACCGGATCGAACAGAACCGAATCTACCGCGATCGGGAAAGCGCGAGGCGAAAGGGGGCAGCGGAAACACGTACCCGGAGGAAGGCCGCGTGGGGGAAATCGACGGCAAGGTGCGCGAAGACCTCGTCCATCTGCTTGGAGGCCTCGCACCAGGACGCCCAGAAGTGCACGGCCGCCGCCCGCGCCCCGGCCACCGCCGCCTCCAGCTCCGCCGGCGAACGCACCTCCCTCACCGCCCTGCCGCTCGCCATCCCCTCTTCTCTGTGATCCTCCGGGGCGGTTGGATGAGAAGAGATGTGGTGATGGACCTGATTGCGGTGAAGGCGACTGGAGTTGAAGAGGAGGAGGATGCGTAAGAGGCGAGGAGGACTCGGGTGCTGTGCGGAGATTGCGGGCTTGCGGCTTGGGGTTTTCCTCTGCTCTGCGCCGCCACGATCGATCGGGAGGCCGGAGCAGCGAGGCCGAAGTCCTCGGCTTTTCTGGGGGTTCCCGTGCGGAGCGACGCCGACTGAACATTCCAGAAGGGTTTTGGCCGGCGGACGGAGACCGGGTGGGCCGCGGGATCGGCACAACAAGCTGGGCCTATTTCTTGCTGGGCTGTGCGGGCCGAACCGCCCTGTGATGCTATGATGGTTTTGGCCCGCTCTGGCGCATTTTTGGGGGGACGTGTGGTCTGGTGACGGCGCCGGCCTGGCAAAGAAAGTGCGTCATGCGCTGGGCGGCGGTGGGGTCTAGCCGCCGTCTGGGCGCTCCGCTGCCGGGTCGGGGGACCTATAAAATGGAGGGGTCGCGCAAGCTGGTGAGCGCCCTCGTCGGGCAGAAACCCTAGTCGCTACACCACGGCCGCCTCACACCATCGACCATTCGACCTATTCTGGCAGTCCCATTCCTCCCCTGACTGAGGGGTCTCTCTTGCTCCTTCAGATCCGTTTATGTGTGTGGTGCTATCAGCTGATAGCCTGATACCGCCTCGGAAGATATTCCGATTTGTGTTTCTGCGTGCTGTCAATATTTTCCGATTTGTGTTTCTGCGTGCTGTATATTTCGACGCGGTTTTGACTTTTCTTTCGCCATGCGTGCGTCTTTGCCGGATCACACGGATCGATGATGCTTCTCAAGAAATACTGCGTTATCTTCCTGATGCAAGTGTGAGGCCGTCGTTTCGAAGGCTTCCTGATGACACATCTATCTTGCTGAGATCCCAGTGCCCAACTAGTCTTTTTTTTTTTCTTTCTGTATTTCTCCCCGTCTGCTTTTTCTCCTCTGGATTGATTTTTGCGTACAGTTTAGTTTTGATCAAATGCACTGTCAGATATCGTAAAGGGCAGGATTGTTTCATCCACGAAGTGAACGCGGAGGAGATTATTCCGTCAACCGTAGGCTGCAGCTAAGAGCTTGGATTCATGCTGTTGGGAACGCTAGACCAGGCAATAGTGGAATCTATCGCTGTGTTATTCAAAACAAGATTTGATCTGGCAATAGTGGAATCTATCGCTGTATTATACAAGACAAATCTATCGCTGTATTATACAAAACAAGATTTGATTTGGATTCATGCTGATGCTGTTGGGTACTAGTAAATATGACCAGGCAACAGTGCAATCACGGTGTCATACAAAACAATGTGATATGTATACCAGTATTTTAGCTGAATCGTACTCCTGTTTGACGCTTGCCAGATAACAAACCACACAAGAAAGGCACATGACCACATGACGGAATCTCTTCGTTTTAACATACTACACTAAGCACTTGCCAGATAACAAATCAAATGTGTAGCACATGGCGTCTGGGCGATGGGCACAACCAGAAGCCTGGCATCAGTGCATCTGAAACATGGTATATGGTATGGGTCCCTTGGGAGCAGCGACAGCCCAACGAAATGGACTGCGTACATGTTTAGTGAACCCAGCCTAATAATACAAAGAGTTCAGCCAGTTGCCAACCTAATAATACAGTAGTTCAGCCAGTTGCCAGTTTAATGAACGTCTAAGGTATCATCTGGCAGACACAGGTTAACTGAGATAAGACACGTTTACATTACAGACAAACAGGTAAGCATCTAACATCATTGTTTCCAGAACTGTTAAGCGACCTTATTTACATCAGCACCTGCAGCATCCTCTGGTAGCTGCCAGCCATGAGCTTACCCATCAGCGGCATAGAAAGGAAGGGACTTCAGCGGCATCACCTTCTCCTGCAAAGGGAAATGGGGACGGTGAGTGAATTATACCTGTGTTAACAGAACGCTATGAACAGTGTGCCTCTGAAGCTACCTCAGAATTCTCCACATGTTCTGAGGGGAAATGAAGACCAGTGGAACAGTTTTCAAGCACTTCAGGACTCTTCAGCCATGCTTTGTGAGCTTCAATGGCTTTCAGCTTAAAGCGAAACATCTGCAAGTGCCAATATCCAACCAATTCAGGTGCACAGTTGCTTTACACTAAGGTTAATTTGCAAAAAGTACCCTGAATGAAAAATGAACAGGAGAAGACTGAATGTGCTCCAAACCTCGGATAAAGAAATGCTTGGCTTCTCAAGTTCATCTCCGTTGACATGAATTCCAGTACCCTGACATTCTGGGCAAACTATGGATGTTATTTTGCTTTTCTTCGGTGCATTCTTTGCCTTCCTTCCTCGATTGCTCTTCCCCTTGCGAGCTATTTGGTCATTCAGCATCTCGTATTGGCACAATATAGTCCAGTGTAAAAGGCAGGAAGTGTGAAAGAGATGATAAGCCTGCATAAATCAAGTGTAGAGAAGTCATTACAGAACATTTGGGATTTAGAGGGGAAATATAATTGCTATATTTTCGGGTGAAAAAGGTACAAAAAGACAAACAGGTCCATGCTCTCTAATCTTCAAGAAACATTATTATGAAACAGAGATAGCAAAGATTGCTCGAAGTTACTCACCCCATTTGAATTTCTACTGCTGCAAGCTAGGTTTCCTGTATTGCAGTTCAGCAAGGTGGCAACATCCTTTCCAGGGAGCATTGGTCTGCCGCAAATATCACACACTTTCTCAGCTGCTATGCGCTTCTGCTTCCTCAACTCTCTTCTCGCTGACTTACTTGATAAGAGGCCAACTTGAAGATTGTGTGAGGTACCCGCTGGGAAACCAGTCACAATAGCTTGGCTACTGCCCTGTGGAGAACTGTTCTGACCGTTTGACTCTTCTGAAGATGCTTCTTGATCAGAGAATGATTTTTTCATTCGCTTTCCACGATGTCCAGCATCATCAATTACAAAGAAAGATCCAGCAGAGATAGAAAGGTCCTGCTCATCAGAAGACCACTTCCTGCCCAAATCATAAGTATAAGAGAAGTTGACTATGGCAAAGCCAGATTGCTCATAAGTGTTACAACTCTCAGAACCATGGGAGCCTTCTTGTCCTACCCAAGCACACCAGATCTTGCTTATCTTCTTGCAGTTCTTGCTAGCTTCACAGATCCTGTATGAAATATTTCCATAGCCCAAAAGATGCACAGGCAAGTCTGAAACAACGTCCTTTAGCAATACACCGGGAATAACAAGAGGACCATCAGTTCCACTGTTTGAAAGCACATGATCTTCAGATACAGCAGCTGTACCATTAGCACGGCCTTTTCCACCATTGCGTGCACCTTTCACACCATTACAGGAGCTTGAACCATCTCTCAACTTTGACGTCACCTCAGTATCATTCCTTGAAACCTCAGGCTGTGGAAGTGGAACCAGAGCAAGCTCTCTGGTGCTCTGCGAGCTTGAGTCCAGCAGGAGCGGATCCTTCTCGCATGAGTTGTTGAAGAAGAGCATGCCATCATTGAATGGCCACGGCATGGGCCCAAACAGTGTGACCTTGGCCTCAGCATACCGCCGGGAGTGCAGGTTTCCCTTGAGGTGGTCGAACAGCACGTTGTCGCTGAAGCACTCAGTGAGGCAGATGGTGCAGAAGAAGATGACACGCTTCCCGACACGCCGTAGTTCAACGTAGGTGTGCCCGCTCTGCCGCACCTCCCGGAGTGTGGCCTTCGCAGCAATCTCACGTATGTCAACAGGGCCATTCCTTTTCACCGCCAGCTCCTTCCCCACCATGGTTACCTCCAACCTCAAATTTCTGCTGCTTTGCTCACAAATCCCTCCAAAACTACCTCCGTACCCTTGTCTTCTTGAAATTCTCAGAAATTACAACCAAATTTCACCCCTCTTGAGATCTACGCTTCCCTCCAGACCCAAGAATTACAAACTTAAAAACAGGCTAAGCGTATAGGAGTACAGAGGGGCGGTGGCGGACCCAGTAAAGGACATGGGTGTACACATGCACAGCTGAAAATTCAAAAAAAAAAAAGAGGTTAGTAGACATAATACATGTGTAGTTAGATCAGATCCGCAAACAAATAGCTTAACTTAGGGTTTGGGTGCTCGGTTTCGCACAGGAAATTGAAGGGTGTGTGTGTGTGTGTGTGGGTGGGTGGGGGGGGGGGGGGGGAGAAGGGGCGTACCTGGTAGTGCTCGTCGCCAGTGAAGGGCACGAAGAAGACATGGCGCCCGATGGAGACTGCACCTGTCGTAGGGAGACCGCGGCGGCGGCGCGATAGTCCAGCCGGCGCGCCCCGATAGACACAGACAGAGAGAACACGCCGGGGGGGGACGGGAGAAGAAAAGGCAGGACCGCACGGATAAACGGGAGAAGCGGCGCGGTCGCCCAGCCGTCGCCCGGAGAGGCCGAGAGACCCTGAGAAAGGGGGAGGAGAGAGAGAGAGAACGCGCGCGCAGGCCGTGGGGAACGGGAGAAGAAAGGCAGGGCCGCACGGATAAACGGGAGAATGAAGAAGAATATTTCGATCAGACGCAGTTCGATGGTTCGATGGAAGGGAGGGTGGAGATCGCCGGCAAGGTGGTTGTCGCCGGCGAGGAAAATTTGGGGGCGAGAAGGCAAGACTCGAGCAGAGGATGAGAATTTGAGAAGAAAAAGGAAGGTTGGTAGATACCTATAGAACATGTGTTGGGAATAAATATGGGGCATTGCGTGTTTCAGGAGACTCAACTGGAGTTTTTTTTAATGGCTCATGGCTTATTTGACAAAGTTAACTACATCACATATAAGCACATCTAAGACGGCTGAGAAACACATTGAGAAGGTGGGAAATTTTAAAATTTAACGTTTACCTTCTTTTCTTTTTTTTTGTTAGAAAACAATTTTAAGTTGTGCCTAATGGCGGGCCAATGAAGGTTAAAAAGAACCCTAATGGAAATATGAGCAAGAAACGCATCCAACAATGTGGATTTCAATAAGATCTCTTACCTCCGCTATCCCAAAAGAAATGTAATTCTAACTTTGGCCTAAATTAATTTTAAGTTTGATTAAAATTATAATAAAAAAAGCTGTGTCTATGTTACCAAATAAGTATCATTAGTTTACTTGATCAATGCTAACAAATAAGTATCGTTATTACATTTACTATGAAATATATTTGCACAGTATGATACTTTTTCATAAATTTGATCAATTTAACTTAGACAAAACTAGAATTGTAGCATTTGTTGAATGACAGAGGACCATCGCTCATATCGTGTTTATAAGAGTTATCCAATCGGCACAGGTAGATACAGTGGGTCCCGGCACTCTAATATGTATTTGTTAGCCACAAGAACTCAATAAGTTTATTCTTTTTAAGTTGTTTTAGAGGAAAAATATTTTAGTTTGGATTCAATTTGCATGAGAAGCCCGGCATCAACAACCAATTTAAAATTAAAATCCAAACAAGACATGCACCTTTTGTGAAGTCCTTGCGTCGTCGATTCGTGAAGTGGTAAACCACATGACTGCCGCGAGGTGCATGATTCTATCAGGCAGATAAAAAGCTGCATCACACGCCTTGTCTTCTTGAAAGGAATGGATAGAATATGACAGTGACATTCATCTCTTTTTCATGCCCACCGTTCGTTTTTATGGCCTGGTTGAATTTTTGATGCAATTTTGCCAATATCGACAAGTGTCCACAATGTAAATTGTTTCCGTGCCTGCGGATATGCTACACGTTATATTATGGTACCGGTTTCCGATTTGACACTTCGCCTGTGCACCAACACCGACGTGACACGCAACCACACAAAATGAAACACTATAACGTGATGCATTTCCTAATTTATATTTCATAAATGGCAGTTAGTTTTTTTTTCTAAAAAAACAATGTGGCTGTCAACATCAGACCACAGAAACTAGACCCATGATCCCATGAGCATCTCCGGAGCATAATCCTTTTTTTAGGCCACAAAGATGCTAGAGGATATCTTGAGTTCTTAACCGGGCCCTATACATTCTTTCAGAGATAGCCAGACAAAATCCTCCGAAAGCAAAAGAAAAATGAAGCCGTCAACAACCAGCACATGAATTCATGATCTGTCGGTGGCATAAGCCAAACAACCAATATCCAACAGAAAATTGAAATCAGTACAACTACCTCAAGTTTCCCAGCGCACAGGAAAGCGCTGATCCCATGTTCCATTTCATATTGCCTATTGTCTCCAACCAGGAGGATATCAAACTGGTGATATTTCGCTATAATGGCACAGGTGAGTAAGATATAAGTGTACAAAATACGTGCGATGTTACAGTTTTATTTAAGCTGAGCTACGCTATGCTCTGAAGACGCAAAACGAGAGCATTATGTTGAATGAGGCCGGGAGAAAAACACGAGCACATGGAAAAGGATACTCCAGAATGTTATGCAGCCTTCACATTTGGCTCCTCGTCCCCATTATCCTCAGCAGGCTCACCATCCCTCTGCCTCCCAAAGCCGAAATATTCCTCTTCTGAATAGTGCTCCTCCGCACTTCTGCCAAAGATGAATGGTCTTCTACCCATTGTTGTAAAAGGCATTAGCCCAAATGCACGCGCCGTTTTGATCTCTCTTGCAATCTTACGCTGAGCTTTTGCACTTATACGGGTCTGTGAAGAAAATGAGTAGGTAAAAACCATGGCAAACATGTGTATTGATACTGAATTACAAGTGCAAAAGTAAGGTAAAAGCTAAATGTGGGATATGCGTATGTGAATATATGATGGTATGTGCGGCTCTTCTTTTTCAATTACATGAATCATGTGTTAATCGCTGAATTCTCACTCTTGGTAGTAGGAGAATTCTTACTCTCATCGAGAGAGGATGACACTAGGAGTTGGGGCAATTTTCTTGTCTATTTCTCACACAAACTCACATAAATGCCATGCCAACCTGAGGGGTTGGGGATACATATTTATAGGCTGCTAGCCAGCCAAGCATATGCCAAGATGCTAGTCTAAGATGTTAGTCTAAGATGCTAATATGCTGTCCTCTAAGATGTTGTCCTAAGATGTTGTCCTAGAGTCTAAGATGCTAGTCCTATATGCTGTCCTAGATGCTGTCCTTCAATCAAGGTTGTCCTTCAATCAAGGATGTTGTCCTTGATAACCACCATGCAGCAGCCCCACAAAGACCAGCTCCACAAAGACTTATCCATCATTCTCCCCCTAAGTCTTGTATAATCTTGTGGGAGAGTTAACCATTCATTCGGTCCTCGAGCGAGCTAACAGAACTTGATCATTGAAAGGGGCTTGGTGAGCAGTCAACTGACTTGGTCCTTGGTGTTGATGTAGCGAATCCGATGCTCCCTTCCTTTCAAACACTTTCGGATGAAGTGGTACCTCAAACGGATGTGCTTGCTGCGTTCATGGAAGGCGGGGTTCTTTACTTGTCACAGCGGACTTATTTGTCCACCCCGAACCTAGTGTCTCCAATAGGAGATCACCAAGCGAAAAGTGACTAGTAATTAAATTAGTATCATAGTGATTAATATGTATTTCACTGCAAAGAACTAGGAGCCACCAATCCGCTTGACCAAGTGCACCTAACGAGGCACTTGCCAGAGAAGAGAAGGATCCCGCTCGTGCTCTTCTTTGGTGTCGATGTCGCCGGCGTGGTCATTGAAACTCGATGATATTAACACGCCCAAAGGGCACCTAGGGTAGTAGAGGCCGTGGTCGAGAGTTAACGCAACGTAGCGGATGATCCTCTTTTGAAACTTGGGTGCTCCGTTGAGGTCATTTGCATGATGAGACTAACATAGCCGACGGAGAATGCCAAGTCCGTGCGTGTGTGGACCTAGCAGTGAAGGCTCCCCATAAGACAGTAGATGCTGACAAGATACCTCCTCCATCGTCTTTGTCGTGGCTATACGACCTCTCCTCCATCGGGTGTGAGAGTGAATACTCACCGATAAAATGAGCCAGCTAGCTCAAAACAGCGCTTGGCGTGGGTGGTGTCGGCGTGATCCGGAGTCATCTGGTGTACCTCGATCCCCGGTGAAGGAGAGAGGTCCAGGTCACTCATCCGGAAGGTGGCCTTCATCTCTTCCTTGAATGCCGCATACCTCGCATCCTTGGTGCGGTGATCACCAAGTCGTCGGCGTAGACACATAACCGGTGAGCATTAAAGAAAGAAAGTTGTGTGGTACAGATGGTATTATAAAGTCGGAGCTTTGCTCGAAGCCTATCCCTTTAGCGTGGAATCCGACGGCATTCACGCCTGTGATTTGCAGGATAGCCATGAGGGCCTTCTAACGAAGCGAGCACCTTGCCCTCCTTGTAGGGGATCGCAAATTCCGGTGGTGGTGCACGAGACCTCCTCCTTCAAGTCAAAAGATAAGGAATGCCGACCAACGTCCATGTGATGAACACGCCAAAGCCCTCTTGGCGGCTACAGAAGAGGAGTCGATCGGACTCCATCCGCCACATCAGGAGCAAAGGCGTCGTCAAAGTCGATCCCCTTCCCCTGCATCATCGAAACCTCGTGCCACCCTTGTCAGCCTTTTGTGCTTGATGGCGGCTTCATCCCTCTTCACTTGAACACCCACTTAAGGGTGATCGCGCGGTGACCACGAGGAAGGTCCCATGAAGCTCCAGAGCGGTTCTTCTCAACCGCATCCATTTCAAACCACCCATCGGCTGCGCCATGCCTCGTGTCTCTCGGCCTCTGCTGAACCGGAAACCATCGGCTCGCCATGGATCACATGCAGAGGTGCAAGCTCGCGCCTCCAGTCCTCAGTCGTGAGGCACCCGGTCCGGCACCAGCCCGGTCGCCGAGAAGGTTCTCCATCTGGCGCGGTCAGCCGCTGTCAAGCTTCGCCGTCGTGAGTGCTGGCGTCGATCGCTCCCTCTCCGTGAGAAAGCGGATGGCGAGCTCTCCAAGGTACATGCCATCCACGCACAGGTGGTGTTAGAGTAAACAAGATAAGCAGATCAACATCATCCGGTCTTTGGAGTGCACGTGGCATTCTAGCGTGAAGCCGTGAAGAACTCATCGACAAGAGGTCTGGTGGAAGCGTGGTCTTTGTCAAGATAGCAGGTGCGTGGTCGGTGGAGGCTCGAGGGTCAGGGTAGATTTCCAAGAAGAGCGCCTACGACTCCTCGAAGTGGGACGTACTGACAGCCGACTTTGGGGAAAGGTACGTCGAACGCCGAGCCAGAATCCACCACCTTGTCCGCACGCCCATCTCGCGATATACGTCACAACGAGGCCAGCGCGCGCGCACACGTGTCTTGGTCGAGGATCGGAGAGGCCTTCGAGCCCTCGCGTAGCCGATGAACACTCCAGTGCTCTGTCGTCGAGCTGGAACGATGTGACGAAAAGCTCGGCTTGGCGTGGGGCGGCAGTGAAGACCCGCAAGTGGGAGAGCGTGGCGCGCCGCGGAGAGAGACCAAGCCGTCTGGCGTCCTGCCGTCGGCCATTGTACTCGGTGGTTGAGGATGTGAGGCGGCCGCCACAACCCCAACTCCCAGGAGAGGGGAAGTAAGCATCCCCCTGCTTGAGGAGGGCGAGCCATAGGGTACAACCGTATGGGGTTGCCTCGCTTTGCGACGACGACTGCTGTGGGTGAACAGACTTATTGAGTAGATGTTAATATTACATATCACTCATCGGTTGTACGAGCGCTAATTTAGAGTACTTTTGAATTAGCCGTAGTTGCATATCTGGAATTCTATGCCATTTAGCGCGCTCTGATAAAGTCCGGATGTTAATGTTAATTAATCAGCGTCATGACCTCTCCTTCTTCGCCGAGGACCATCACCCACATGTAGCGGGAGAAGTCGTCAGCGGAAGGGGAAGCAGGCGTCGTCTCCCGGTGTGGCGGTGTCACCGGGCCACACAAGTCCCCGTCTGCACGAGCTCGAGCCTCTCCTTGGCTCGGCTTCGTTTTCATTGAGAAGGGGAGTCGCCTCGCCGTCAACAACACGCAGACGTCGCAGAACTGCTTCCACATGGTCGAGGCAGCAGCCTCGCACCATCTCCATGGCACTAAGCCGCTTGGGCCTCGAAGTGAAGGTGCGGAAAGCGCTGCCGCCACGCCGCCGCGTCGTCCCGACGAGCAAATGGCGACAGAGGGTTGTGCCACACCGACGTTAAGGGCGTAAAGTCGATTTGCGCTTCGGATACCTTGGCAAAAAAGCGACGACGGCGATCCCAAATCCTCATGACTCCATCCTCAACCACCACGCGAACCGTTCTCATCCGGTGTCCCAAAGGCGATGATGGAGTTCCTCAAACTTGGGGATGTAGTAGTATCCGGTGGTGGCGGCTGCTGCTCACGAGAACGCAGCAGTGAAGATGATGGAGCCGACGCCCCTTGATCTCCACGCGGAGGCATCCCCAAACTTGAGCGGAGCCTCGGGACGCCAGAGTCAAGCTTCGGTGAAGAACTCCGTCGGCCGGTCATGTGATGGGTCGCGCGCGGTGTCGAGGCACCACCCGTCGATCTTGTCGTTTGAAAAATCGCCGAGGAGGCGTGTGCTTTTGGCTCGTCAAGGTGGAGGAAGCTGATTGGCCGGTCTTGCACTGGAGGTAGCTCGATCTTTGGCATGTGCCATGAACAGAGCCGGCTCCTCCTCCCACACTGCGGCGTGGGCACGGCCGCGTCGTGGTTTGTCAACGATCCTTGGCCCAATGGCCAAAGGCCGCGCGATTATTGGCGGTGTCGTCTCGTCGTAAACTCAAGCAAGTATATTTTGAGAGCCACACTGGCGCCCGCGGGCATCACCCTAAGACGACGTCTCGCGCGCCTTTGGCGTCTCTGCGTTTATGCGCGGCGGCTTGCCACGCTTTGCGGCCGCTGTCGCGGAAGAAGACTCCCTTCCTCCGGTCACCTTGGGCGGCAAGCCACGGCTCCCGAGTGAGAATATTTCCCGCCCGATGGTGATGAGCCCCAGAGGATCAGGTGGCTCATCGGCCGTCGACAACCTTGAGGCGACCTATCGCCTCCTCGTCGACGACATCGTGGAGAGATCCGATAGAGACTCGATCGAGCGAGCCATCCGCTTGTACTTCTCGGGGGCCTTGCTGGAAGAGCTTTTTCGCCTCTCTCTCCTCGCCGTAGGTGTCGTCGCCGAATCGCACCATCTTCTGTGAGTGTTGAGGCGGAGAGCAAAGTCATCAACGCGTCCTCACCGGCTTGAAGGCCGGTTCTCCCAGCTCCTTGCGAAGTGCTGCGGTGTGGACTTGCGGGCGCGATCGCCAAATCGCTTACTGCAATGATGGCGTCCCAAGCCTCCTTGGCGATCGCCGCTTCTATGGTAAGCGAGAAGCGCATCTCGGGCGGGGCTAGCTTTGCGATGAGAGCATCCGGCGCCCATCGATCTAGGTCGAGTCGACGTCGCCGTCGGACCGCCTCCCACATGTGCCGCGACTGAGCTTTACCCCTCACCGCGCCATGCCCGCTCGGCGTAGTTGGTCTTGGTGAGGTAGGCCCCACCATGGGACCGGCGTCCCGACAATGACTGGAGCCCGTGGTAACCACGGTCAGTCCCGTCCGGGAGAGAGAGCCCGTTGCTGTGAAGGCCACGCTCTCCATCGAACCCGTCGGTACCGATCCGGGAGAGAGAACCACGCACCTGTGGCCGCGCTCTCCATCGACCCGTCCGCCACCGCGTGTCGTGGCGCGCCTCCTCGAGAACACCACGGCAGCGTCGCACTTTGTCTGGTGCTGCCGCCACGAATGGCGTCTTGGCGGCTGCTATGAGCGCTCCCGCCGTCGCGCCTCCTCAGAGCGCGCCGGTAGCGTCGCGCTTTGTCGGGGCTGCCGCCACGCTTTCGTGGCGTCTTGCTGGCGCCTTACTACGCCGCCATCGCTTTGAGGCCTGCCTCCTCTCTAGGCCGAGGTCCGCGTCGGTGGTGTAAAGTCGGAAATGGGTTGCCGATCTTTGCGCAGAACCTCGACCTCGCCGCCGCCACACATTGCATTGTGGGTTAGCGCCGCCGCTCTGCCTCGCTACTCTGTTCTGCCGCCTACTCGCACCGACCTCGACCTGCTTACGCGCGCCTTAGGTCTCTGCGCGCCGCTTCGCGCTTCGCGTTCTCTGCAGCAGACAAGTTCGGCCTCTGAAGACGTGGTTGATTTCGTGCATTGACTGAAGGCCGAGAGATCTGCGGACATGATGCTGAAGGGGGCTAACTGCTGGTGGGGAGGAAGGGCTGCTTCAGATGAGGCTTCTTTGCTTCTTCTGCTGTGGGAGGAGAGTGAGCGGGAGGCGGTCGGAGCTTGTTGCTCGCACTGTTGAAGTTTGTTGTTGTGTGGTGGGAGGAGATGAGCGGGAGATGCTCGAAGCTCTGAGGATAATATCTGACTCCGATACTGTTGGTTGTTAGTCATTGAATTCTCACTCTTGGTAGTAGGAGAATTCTTACTCTCATCGAGAGAGGATGACACTAGGAGTTGGGGCAATTTTCTTGTCTATTTCTCACACAAACTCACACAAATGTCATGCCAACTGAGGGGTTGGGGTACATATTTATAAGGAGGCCTAAGCCATAAGCATATGCCAAGATGCTAGTCTAAGATGCTAGTCTAAGATGCTAATATCTTTGTCCTCTAAGATCTTTGTCCTAAGATCTTTGTCCTAGAGTCTAAGATGCTAGTCCTATATGCTGTCCTAGATGCTGTCCTTCAATCAAGGATGCTGTCCTTGATAACCACCATGCAGCAGCCCCACAAAGACCAGCTCCACAAAGACTTATCCATCATCATGTTTAGAATCAAGTCACTGAAAAGATCAACATCCAGCAAGATGATCCTGGCACAACAGTGCCATCAGGATGTCTTTCCAAAAGGATAAAAGCATACCAGGATGGTGTAATGCATTGAGGAGTGAGGACAACTGCTCCCAATATGCATGATAAGCAACTATCTAACACAAAAGGATCTGACAGCTCAACTAAAAAGCAAGAATATCTTCCCAAAAAGTTCATCATCATATATAATAATTAGCTGAGTACTTGAGGAGTAGTGATTACCTGGCTTCTCTTGATGATAATTCCAGCTTCTGTAAGGAAGTGGGAGAGGAATCTAACGTTCTGCAAGGAGCAGTTCCAAATATGTTTAAAAAATGAAACTGGAAAGTACTTGTAGCAAAACCATAGGAATTCATCAATCAGATCAAAGATATAATCTTGGGAGAAATGTTACATGTCTCTTCATTGCAAAGAGGCAACTAACAGTAAATATTCATTGACACAGTTTTATACACAACTGACTTTCTTTGCAGGTAGACCCGATCAATCAAAATATATGCATTTCATACACTTTGGAATTTGGAACATGAAACACATGGCTCGTATTCAAATATGTGCTTTGATACTTGTCACAGTGAAGTATTTGCAACCAAAACCATCCCAATATGTATATAAGCTTCTTGTGTGCACTAGTAATTAAATTAGTATCATAGTGATTAACATGTATTTCACTGCAAAGAACTATCTTATATTTGCTAAAATCAAATAAGACAAGTAGCAAAATCAGAAGAAAATGCCAGAGTAAGATAAATTTACTGCTAATAGTGATTGTTAGTCATGTTCTACAGATACATATGTGGGAAAACTCATATTAACACAACAAACAAATAACGGATTTTCAGGTGGCAATACATTGCATGTTAACACTATAAAGGGTATGACTTCCTCTATTTGAAACAGGAAAGAGGAAGCATTTTGAGATCAGCATAGACTCCTTGTGTTCCTGAACTTTGTGTTACCTAGCAGTCCTAGAATTTACAAAGCAGTAGAGGACATGATACATTTCAGTAAAAAATAGAAACTATAGGCAATTTCCTTGTGTTGTCAGGAAGAAATACTCACCCTAAAATCAGCCTTCCTCAAAACCTCCGCTGTAGTTGTTTCAAACTGTGGTCTAGGAGGATTCTTTGCGGCTGCAGGTCTTCTAATGTCAAGGTCCTACACGTATTACAATTGAATGAAATAGGGCATTAGAATAGCAATCACACAAGGGCAGATCACTGAATAAACTAATAATTAAAGAAAGAAAGTTGTAAACTACACATGGTATTATAAAGAGGAGTTCCGCATATCAGAAATGAAATTCTCATTTTGTTAACAACCATCAGCTAGTAAAGTACACGATTTTATTGTGATTTCAGGATAGCACAGACATTTCTAACCCACACACTTACTCAGTAGTTCCTGAACACTTACACAGGATAACAAAAACATCAAGGTCGCAAAAGATATTAGATGAATCCAATAATTATGGCTACACATTGACAAACAAAGCTCCTGCTTACCCGAACAGAATAAGTCGATCCTCGCCTATACGTCACATCAGGCCTGAACTCAAAATCATCCTCTTCCCACTCATCATCGTCATCGTCGTTGTCATCCATTTGGAAGTTGCGTGCCGCATTATCCAGCATCTCACTTATGCTATCATTCGAAGAATCAAAGAAACCCATGGACCCAGAGCTGCTCTTGTCGCCAAACACACCTAAACCACCCATGGCTGACCCAGAGCTGCTCCTGTCACTGAACCCAGGGAAACCACCCATGGATGACCCAGAGCTCCTCCTATCACCAAACCCAGCGAAACCACCCATCCCAGAGCCCATGCCGTATCTCCTACTGGCGTTCTCAGCCCTGTCAAGCTTCTCATAGAGAGACCCTTCCTCTGTGTCCTTGCTCCCAAACAGCCGTTCATCGAATTCCTCCAAGGTCTCGCCATCCCCTGCACAGCAATAGTTAAACAAGATAAGCATATCAACATCATCCTGGCCGAGACCATTCTAGCGTCAATTCTTCATTCTTAAAACATGACAACACAAGTGTAAGGAAATGATGGTTTTTGTCAAGACAAAGCTATGGATTCGCGTCAGAACTAGATCTCCAAGGCCATTCGATTCAGTTTACTGTGACAGCCGACTTTGGGGGAAAGGTACGCCGTACGCGAGTGTTAGAATCACGACCACCACACCGCACGAGGACGCGTGCGATACCGCTCATGGGAGGCCAGGGAGACGCGGGGATCGGAGGGTGTGTGTGGGTGCTCAGTGCTCACCAGACTGGAACGAACGACGAAAGGCGCCGGCAGCTGTGGGCGGCAAGTGGGGGGGAATGGAGTGGCGGAGCGTGGTACGCCGCGGGAGAGACCGCCTAAGCGCCGAGCTCGCCATTGCACTCGGTGGTGGATCGTCGGCGCCGCCGCAACCCCAACACCAGCAGGAGAGGGGAAGAAGGAGCGGGTGATTAGGATATAGGAGCCGGGGTAGGGGTAGGGGTAGGGGTTTCCTCCTTTTTGCGATTCGGACCCCGTGGGTGAACCTTATTGTTAGATGTTAATATATTACATATCACTCCTTGTTGTACAGTGCTAATTTAGAGTACTTTTGGTAGGTAGGTATATCTGGAATTCTAGGGCCATTTAGTTTTTTCTGATAAAGTCCGGATGTTAATGTTAATTAATTCAGATGTTTGTAGCACTCTGATTTTTCAAATTTTACAAAATATAAATAAGTTTGTTTTAATTTTTCATTAGGAAGCTCGTGGCACGCGCGTGTCACAGGTGGCCTCGCCTCGCTCCCATGGACGGGCCCTGGTTTTCTGAAAATGAACACTGACGCCGCTTTCTGTGCTCAAACGGGTAATGGCTCACAACTTGTGTTGTTCGAGATCATCGGGGGAACTTTGTAGCAGTGGCACAGGGCCACAGGCGCAATTGTATAATAATCTCCTGGACGCTAGTTTGGGAGGTTTTGGGTCTGTTCGCTTTGTTGAAAAGTTACGACTGAAAGTATTATTCGCTAATTTATTATGAGAGAAAAATATTATTTATTCGCTGAAATAGTACGACTTATAAGACATGCGAACAGGGCCTTTGGCTTGCAGAGATGCAGTGAGTACACATGGAAACGGATTGCCTAGAACTCATTCAGTTATGGGAGATACGGGAAATGCAAAGGTCCATCTTTGCTCCAATCTTTTCAGAGATAGATGATTTGAAGCTTGCCTTTTCGGAGTTTGTTTTTGTTTACGCTAGTAGATCAAGGTCGCTCATATGTTAGCCAAACAAGTCACGAGCTCATACCGCGATTTGATCCTGTATGAAGCTTCGGCTATTATGATATAAAAATGAAAGGAAAGCTGATGGGCAAAAAAAAAAAAGAAGGAAAAAGACGGTCGATGCGTGAAAGAGGAAAGAAAAGAGAAACCTACGGTGGAGAGATATAAGCCACGGTTATTTTGTGTCATTTCATATGCAGAACATATAAAAAGAAAATATATTATAATATAAAATAAACTCAAGCAAATATATTTTGAGAGTCACTTTTGTGAAGCAAACGTTTTTTAAGTGCCAAATATGCGAAGCCATTTGTTATTATAGATGTCTTCCGGTACAAAAGACGAGTACCAAAGATGACGAGGGACTAAATCCAGACCCTCGTCTGCTATGGCGGTGGCGGCGGCGATACTCGAGCTGGACCCGTCGCACGATCGAGCCGGCCGCGTTATCGAGGACATCGTGCGGCTAGAGCGGAGGATCTTCCCGAAGCACGAGTCGCTGGCGCGGTCCCTGCACGACGAGCTCAAGCGGCGGAACTCCGGCCTGATCTACACGACGTCCGGCGCCGACGGCGAGGAGGTCATCGGGTATGCTATGTACACCTGCAACACCTCCCTCTGCGCCACCATCACCAAGCTCGCCGGTGAGACATATGTTGGGATCCCGTCTCTCCCTGGGATAAGGTTATGCTGAATGACTGAATCGTGTGCCCAAAACTGTAAACTTTTGGTTGCAGTGAAGGAGAATTGCAGGCGGCAGGGCCACGGCGAGGCGTTACTGGCGGCCGCAGTGGAGCGGTGCCGGCGGAGGAAGATCCAGCGGCTCTCCCTCCACGTCGACCCGACGAGGACGGCGGCTGTGGCGCTGTACCGGAAGGCCGGGTTCCAGGTCGACACTACCGTCGAGGGCTACTACGAACCGCACAGAGACGCCTACCGGATGTACTTGGATCTGTAGAATCGTCGAGGACGAGAACCAGTGCTTGATCGGCCAGTACTCCATTAGCGTGGAGCCATTAATGCTTCTCAAAATTGATAAATTCTCTTGACGCACACTGCTTCTGTGAGAGTTTTTGTCGATGATTCCAAACTGTAGTAAGTATCATGTTAATTCCCGCAGGATTCTGAAACTACTGCCATATAACCATATTAAATGAGCATTTGGTTTCAGCAATTACAACTGTGGATATCGCCCAGGCTGTATGACAAGATAACTCAGAGATGCTGCCATATCAGTTTCTCCTCCAAGGTCAAGATAACTCAGCAAGAAATTCGTGGATAATTTTGACCTTCTTTGTAACTATATAAGAGATGTTTACTGAATAGTAGCTGGCTAGTCTCACTGACACACATAGAAAAGCGAAAGCCCAATTTGATTCAACATTCAAGTACCCCTTAGGCAAAGCTGATTTACAATACAAGAGAGCAAACCAACAGTGTAAATGGGCACCTGTTGATATGCGACCATTATAAGTAATCAAATGGATGTTTGTTCGAGAAATGGAGTGATCAACTTATCTTCTCACTTCTAACTTTTTGCTTGATTTGTAGAATATAATAGGTAAATCCATCAGACTCTCATCCCTTACAAGCAAATATATAATTAGTGTATGAGAATAGTCACTATACCAAAATCATAAAATAAACTCATATGCACTACCTCTTTGTTGCTCAGCTAGTGCCCAACTGGCCGATATGGCCTCAGTGATGGCAATTGGCAAAACTGAAAACTCACCAATTCCCCCTAGTGGCTGGCCCAACGGAAGGCCGATGCGTTGGACGGTTGGAGTCTTGGAGAACACCCAGCGTTAATTAGTTTGTAGTTAGTCTTGATGAATCAGGTTCCATCAGAGGGTTAATAATTATATATTCCCATACCTTTCTCAGGTGAAAACATGTCATCCAAATATGCTAGTACTGAGAAACGTATTGTTTCAGTTTCAATTCCAACTCTGTACGTATTTCACAAGTTTTTACATATTCAAAATGGTAAAATTTTGTTCACAAGCTGAACTGCTAAGCTGCTACATCTCATCCTACTTCCTAAATAGTCATACAGCTGGGCTCTTGCTCAGAAAGGGCCAACACTTGATCACATAGGTCTCTGATGTTTAAGTCAAGGTCACTAACTTCTGTTCCCACGGATATTACTGCAGCCTCCTTTGTAACATGAAACTGTACTGTTCACCTGTTACTAAAATTGGATGGCAGCCAGTTATAGTATGTAGGAAGAGACAGTTACTGTTCGTCCATGACTGTTTGCTTCTCTTTGCTTCATCCTTGACTGTTACTGCAGTAGGTATTAGAACTATGCCAGTCTGATGTTTGTTTTACTGCTTGATTGTATTGATTGATTAGTCATCCAGTGAATACTTCAGCTGCTGAGTGGTCCTAAGATTCTGAGTGGTGTCAGTGGTACATCACTGCATATACATTGACAAGTTTACAGAATTGATTCTGGGTGGTGTCAGTACAAAGATAGGCATGAGTACTTCTGTTCATGCTTTACATGTTTCTTGCAGTTTAGATTTTGAAATAAGATTTTCAGTGTTGCAGTTTTGCAGGTTACAAGGATAAAATTGTTTTGGAGGAAACTAGTAGTTCTGCAAGATGCAGCTGGCAGTCTTACAATGGCATTGTTACTGAGAAATTGTAACTTATGTGACTCAGAGAAGGACAATACACATTTGCATGAGATTATTTCTTATTTTCTTTAATTAAGTCAATTTGCACGGACAGATGCAACAGATGGATGGAGGAACATGGATCCGGCTACATGTTTTTTTTTCTCATTTTCTTAAATTAAATCAACATATCAGTACTGGTGGCCGTGCTCGTGACTTGGTTGATCAGGGCCTTGTACTCATAACTCATTGCATTTACTGTCTATGTGCTTGCTTGTGAGAGCCCTCGGATTGCATTCTAGGATCTGGCCCGAGGATTCAAAAAGGGCTGGGGTTGGATTAGGATGGTGCTACGTGTAGGATTGGATTGGATTGAGCTGAAACAAATCAGTAGATGTCAGGATTGGACTGGGTGCAGTGCTTAATCACCTTAGAATTGGAGTGGGGTTGGGGCCGGATCTCGATCCAATGTCAGGCCTGCGTTAGCTCAACGGAGCAGGAGGCTTTGGCTAAGGAAGAAGAATTTGTAAGAGAAAAACACTGTTCCGGATGAAAAAATAAGCGGATCAAGTGAATTTGTAAGAGAAAAACACTGTTCCGGATGAAAAAATAAGCGGATCAAGTCGGGTTTAAGAGCACGTAAACAGGGTCATACCATCCACCGTTGGCTCTTGTTGCACTAGTTAAAGAAAATCAGAGTACTGGATGACTACAGTCTACAGATACAGTTGGTGGTGGTACCCATTACCCAGTGGCCATATTCAAACTCTTATCCACCTCTCTTTTTTTAAGGACTCTTATCCACCTCATTTAGATAGGGTATAGATATTTTTTTCCTATCAATTAGAAATGAATAGGGTAGAATAGAATACCGGAGTGGATTATCCATGGGTGAATCTTTAGCTCAATTCACATATATTACTAGAAATACGTAGCTCAATTCACACATTCAAGTTTCTAACGTGGGACTCACTGAAGTCCATTTTAGCTTCAAGTTTCTAATGTGGTACTCACTATTGCTCTGACTACACTAATCTGCACAACGTATCGACTTCCATATTGAATCATCTCTACAACACATTTAGTTAATTTCGCTATGATATGAACACGAGATTTTTAATCCTAAATCCTAACTTCTGATATGAGCCCATATACATCTAGCCACTCTAATCTGCACGAATTAGTCACATGTTATAACAAGTCATCTCTAACTAATTCCAATCAATTTTGCTAAAATTCTAATGTGTGAATACGAAGTTTTTAGGCCCCAGCTTTTGAGGTGCCTACATGTAAATCTAGCCACACTACTTTGCATAAAGTAGGTTACTGCCATACTAAGTCAACTCGAATAAATTTTAGTCAATTTTACATAAATCTAGCCACACCATGTATGTAGAGTAGCACACCTAGCGCAAAATAGTAATAGAAACTAATAGAGTAATAGTTTAGCTCAAAGCAAAGCTCTTCTGTTAGGCTAATCATTATCCAATGTGTATATATGGATAAGATTGGAGAGGGTGAGAAATACATAATAATAAATTGATGATATGGACAGCGTGGAAAAGACGACAAGTACGAGTATGTCCATAGTCCATACCCTCTGTGGCAGGTAGTCCAAAACTGATCAAGATTTTCATCTCATCACTGCTTAGATGCTCAATCAAAAAGAAACAAGAGCGGGGCGCAGACGACAAAACGTACCTCGCTCCCTTTTCCAACACGACGACTCGGACAGCTTGCCTACCAGATGTCTATTAGCTTAAATTGCTTAGGTAGATGCTTTATTATGTGTTAATAAGTCAGTTCTAAGTTTGGCTCGTACAATTTCTCCTGCAAGGACAGGCTTAATAACAAAATAAGGAGCTCGAGTCGAGTAGTTTAGCTTGTTGGACATTTTTGGATAATTCTGATCCTTTTATACCTTATTACTAATAGATCCTTGTTAATCAAGTATAAAGTACTAGCCAAGTACTACTAGGCTAGATTTATTACTTAAACTAGTTACCAATTAGCATCCTAACTTTGCAGCAGAAACCTTCCAATGCCCAGAACTATGCGTTGCTTAAACACTAATGGAAACATGAGATAGACACAAACAGCCCTGCCTCCATTTGGGGCAAGCACAGAGTTCTCTATTAACTGAGCCAAGTCAGATATGTACAGAGTGGCTGCATATGATCAAGGATGCATGCAGGCACTAAATAAGTTTCTAAAGCACCAACGGAAGGCTTGCGGTTCCAAATCAGTTCAGGCACTTCCAAAAGCTTGAGTAAAGCATGAAAATGGAAGAACATGGGGCATGGGGCATAAGATTAACTGGAACTGGGCACTGAGCACTGGCTGGAGGTCTTCAGAGAGGAGGCGTCACAGTCATTTTATGTGGGAATCATAAACATTGAAGATGACGTCTGGGACAATCAGAGGCAGCTTGCTTATGTACATGAACAGCCGTCTGAGGTTCTCGCTTGACACTGTCTCCATGTCAACCACATCTTGGTCCTCGACATAGATCCACAAGTCACCAGGACAGGTCTTCTTCAGGTTGTCACGGCAGAATGGGCAGGACTGCGATCTTGAACTCCTATAAAAAGGCAATGTTATTGTCAAACTATGGTATCTGGAACATAAACAACACTCAATCTCTCCGTCAAAAAACAACACTCAATCTTAATGGTGATATATAATACAATGAACACTGAAACAGCACATTCAGAGATTCAATCCAAGTTATGCTGATTGAAAAAGTTACATTGGCCAAAAGAATACAGACAAACCACAAATATCATAGGAACACCTAATACACAGGAACAATAAATCTCAAACACCCACCATCAGGGTTTGCTAACATATAAAGCTACTATGATCAGCAGGACCACAAGTAGTTTAATGAGCTAAATTGTTAGCTGAAGTGAACAAATGAGTACTGTCTTCATAGCCTAGAACCAATGGGCTGTAAACAGAGAGCACAGTAAAAATAAAAATAAATACTTGATAGGGCACCACACTCAGGTTCCTCTTTGCACTAAGGAATGGCAGAACATAGTTAAAAAAATCAGGTGGTGAATCACCACAATAAGCCTACTTACTGTAGTTCACATGAATATCACAATGCCACCTTCCAATGATCACTTCATTTTCAGACTGAAGTAGACAATGGGAAAGCATATAAATAATACAGATCTGTTTCACAGAGCACTATGTTCTGCTGAGCTACCGGCCATTCATACCAAAAGGTTTCATTAGAAGAAGTATAAGCCCATATGCATGGAGGGGTTCCATCTTGTTTACAAGCATATAAGTTGGTGGAAAGAACAAGGAAGATAAATTTAAGCTTATCTATAGCCATTGTTCTCAGCAGTTCATGTTTAGCAGGATCTACCTTAACATGATACAGATAGGTGGAGGAATGATATAGATGAATCATCTAGCTAGAAGGCTTGTAATCGATAATGATAACAAGAGCCCATCCAAGAAGTTTGCACTTGCATAGCAGTAAAAGTAGGGCAATTGAAATTTGAGAATATAACACTCAATGCAGTCACAGAAAACATAGGGGCAGAAACTGGATTGCGCGCATACCAGTCCTGGTAACATCTGAGGCACATAGCATGGGTGCAGTTAGGCAGCACAACTTTGCTGTTCATCTCCATGCAAATCCCACACTCCTCTTCCCTCTCAACATCAATATCAGATAAGGAGCCCCGTTCGTCCTCATCTTTCTTTCTGTACCTCTCCATGCACACGGCCTTCTGCTTCTTGTCCTCCACATCAGTGATCCCCCTTTGCAGTTGCAGCAAAGAAGGAAATATCACAGCTGCTCATGCCAAACATATAACAACTCTGATCAGCAATGCAGCACAAAAGATAACATGGTTAGGCAAAGATGTAAGAACATCACACACTCTTACCATAGAATTCTTTGATACTGGCTTTCCTCTCATGAGTCGACATGGTTGTCGTGCCATCCACATAAACCTGAACAATGAGCTACAAATTCAGGAGGGCACATCGACAATGTGAGCACTGAACCAACAAACCTGCAGCAGAGCATGCCACAGACCTTGTATATGAGGATTCTCAGCAGACCAAGCGCCCCGGCGAGGCTGCAGTCTGTCCACTGCACCAGGAAGAGGAATATATGAGCTGCGGGACTGTACGACAGCCGCATCTGCAGGCACGCACCATCATAGTCCCGGGGAAACTCGGAGGCCCTGCTCATCCAGATAAACAACTAGCATCACTTGGCAGATCACATGCACTCAGAGATGAGGCAAGCCTCACCTAAAGACCACACTAGTGCACTCATCTCGTCCCCTTTTTCCTCTTATATAAGCAGAAACGGATATATAATTTAGAACGCTGAAACACATGGGAAGCAGAATTTTTTTTTACGGAGTAACTTCCTAAACACATGCGATTCCCTCATGATCTACTGCCGCTTCGCCGCTCGTGCGCGCACGGATAGCGCAATCAACAACAGGCACCGGACCAACCACCACGACGGATCCCAACGGAGGGGGCGCGAACCGGACGCTCGATTGATCAACCCATCACCCTCCCTGGTCGCCGCATTGCGCAACCCCGGCAGCAGGCCGAGGCCCCGCCGAAACCCCCAAGCACCCGCTCGATCACAGAGGCAAAACAGAGAAACGAGGAGGACACGGGCCCGTACTAGTGAACTGGAGCAGAATCGACAGGGGATGTGAGGCGGCGCCGGAATCAGGGCGGGCAGAGAAGAGGGAGGCGGGCAAGAGCTGGGCTTACAGGGTGTTCGCGTGCTGGATGTCAGCTTCGAGCACCTTGATGGAGTCCCTGTACGCCTTCCGCATTCTCCACCGCCGCCGCGGCCGCCCTTCTCATCCAAGTGCCGCGCGGTCACGGCAAACCACCCTCCCTCCTCGCCGCGACGAAGTAATCTCCCGAACCTGGCCGACCGCCGAGCGCCGGAGCCGGGGGCTTGCGATTGCGATGAGAAGGAAGGTGAGGAGAGGGGTCTGGGGTCTGGGGTCTCGGGCGCCGAGCGGTGGGGGTGGGGTGGGGTGGGGTGGGTGGCGTGGGGGCAGCGGTGGTGTGGTGGGCTTTGAGGGGAGGAGACGATGAGGGCGCAGGGCAGGGCCGAACGCGAGCGTGCGCGTGCGTGCCGGGCGCGCAGGCAGACAGGGGGGGGAGGAGCAGAGCGCACCGCGTGTGCCGCGGCGGGCGTGGCCGCGTTCGGGATGCGTGAGATCCCCGTGGGTCTGGGCGCCTGCCCCTGCTGCTCCTGCCCGTCTGCCGGCCCAGCTCTCGTTTTACCGGTGTCCGGTGGTGGTAAAAGTAGTACTCGCTCGGTCGACGCAAGAATCAATTCCTATAGTTATTTAAGTTAAAAAATTTAAACTTGGATCGAATTTCTAAAAAATATTAAGATTTATAATATTAAATTAGTATTATTAGATTTATCATAGGATATATTTCCATAAGGTGCTCATTTTATAACATAGATGTTGTTATTTTTTTCTATAAAGTTAGTCGAATTTAAAAAAGTTTGACCGACACAGATTCTAGGAATTGATTTATTTGGGGATGGAAGGAGTATTATGTGAAAAGCAGCCGTGCACCGCCCACAGACGTCGGAAGTCACCAAAAGCGGCAGGCTAAGGTGAAGCGGAGACCGGAGAGTCAATATGAGGCCTTGTTTGGATCCACATTAGATATGGAGCTGAGTATTGTATCCTACCACGACTCATTTGTCTCTAATCTAATTAATATCTATGCACAACCATGAATAGGGATGGATGGGGGTAATATGCGTCTTTTGCCTTACAGGACTATTTTTAGCCCTCTTTAGCCCTCATTGGAGGGGCTAATGGAAAAATGGTGAGATAAAGTTTAGCTCTAACTTTTAGCCCTCTTACTTGAATCTATGAAGGAATGTGGCTAAAAATGGTGGGCTAAACTTTAGCCTCGTGAATCTAAACGGGGCTGAATATTGTTGTTGTACACCAAGTGCAGGGTTTGAAATAAATTGTTAGGTCTCTTTTTGGAACATGGTAATTTACCAAAAACTCATGAAAAAAGGTATAATAATAATAGTTCTAAAACTCGTGGAGTCCTGAACGGCACCAAAAACATAAATGCAATTACCCCCCCCTATATAAGCTACTACTCCTTTCATTCCAAATTATTTCCTCCATTTCAAATTATAAGTTTTTTTAACTTTTTTCATCCATTTAGCTATGTATCTAGACATATTATTATATATATATGCATAGTAAAATAGATGTACCAAAAAATCAAAGAAGACTTATAATTTGGAACGGAGATAGTATAAATCATTCTGACATTTTCTTGGAGTATCAAAACATATAAAGTATAATCAAAATTATAGAGAGAATTACAAAGATTTTATGACATCAAACATGTGTACTATAAAAATATAATTAATAAAGAGTTTAATGCTTTATTGGTATCATAAATATTATTATTATTATTTTATTATATAAATCTGGTTAAATTTAATATGTTTTGACTCTCAAAAGATTAGAATGACTTATAATTTGGGATGGAGGGAGTAGTAGTCTTCTACTTACTAAAAAAACTTGCGGAGTATTCGGCTAGTAAATTTGCTTAATACCACCAAATCTAATATATCAACTAATATTATATTAAGCGTACTTTAAGCATTGCTTATATGAGTATGTATTAAAAAACAATGCGAATAATTAAACGCAAACGAATTACACCGCACAAGGATAGAAAATGGCACACGTGGCGACCTATCACTATGGTCATGCAGTTGCTTTCAGCTCTTCCTTTCCATGAGTTACACCACCTTTCTACCCTTAGATTCGACTGATCAACTTCCATTATCGATAGGTGCACCGCAAACAATCAACTTACTTCTTTTTGTCACTAATAAAAAACCTTAGGGGCGTCTGGATCTTTTTATTTGGAGAAATTAAAATCTAGTACTTAATGAATTATGCTATTATGCTTGAAATTTGATATTCTATCATTTTCTAAAGTTCACATATAAGCCTATCTCAAATTTATATGGTGAGAGATGAAAATTGATTCTATATATCACAATTTTATGTTTTTATTTTGCAACTTCTAACATGCTCTTCAACTCGCTTGTGGCAGAACCGTCTAATCTAATGCCTCTTAGGAGTACTTGTCTTTCATTAGACACTAAGTATTCAAGAGAGAACACTAAACTACGCAGTTCCGTCGAGCACACCTCAAGGGAGAACACGAAAATCCATATTTTTCTATCAGGATCATAAATAAGAGAATAAAGCTTACAACATTCTTAAGTCATTTCTTACATCATTTTTTTACAGTACAGAATATTACCTCAATTGATTATAACAACGGAATATAACAACGTTATCAGAGCTACAGATGATACAAAGATTAATTTAATAACATGGTACAGCATTAACATAATGGATATTTTTATACTAGAGATGCTAGCAGATTTTACATCTTTTCTTATAAAAAAACCTTTAGTGAGGCTTATAAATAAACACTACGGTCGTAGCATGAAAGGAATCCTCTCTGAGCCCACCAGGAGGTTTTCACACACAAGAGTCAGCTCTAAGTATCCTCCGATCACCTGCAATAGGGGGAATAAAACCCTAAGTACTTGATTGTACTCAGCAAGACTTACCCGATAGGAGGAAAATAAAAGACTCCAAAGATATGCAAAGTTATCTGGCTTATGGGTTATTGCATCTGCAAGAAGCATTACTAAACGTGCATCCTTAAAGTCAATTTTATTAGCGGTCATCATTAGTTCATTAACTAACCATTCTATGTAAGCACCTATGCTACTTTCAAGCAGGTGATGAGCAATCAGAACTATATTATCATCTTTCATAGTTCTAGTTCTTACTACGGTGCTAGATCATAGCCAAGTCATACCGTCTCACAGAAACGATGATTCACGAATCAATATATCCTAGCTGGGTACCCCAAAACACATGCCCCGTTTATACCCCAGACACAAATAAGACCAACACATTCCACTCTTGTCACGGGGTCTAGATCCCCGTCCAAACTTGGACTCCAAGCCCCCACACTCGAGACCCGAGCTCAATGTGGTGCTTAGACCTCCACCTTTCTTCGCCTCCAATCAGTCGGTCCAAAAAGAGCCAGAATCTATGACAAGAGCGTAACGAGCCTTTCTACTCCTATAAGCAAGTATGTGCTCAGGATAAAAAGTCTGTGACCTAACTACCATCCATAGCAATAGACGATCCTCAATCGACATAGGCGGAACACGTGCAATCCGAGCCTCGCTCGGATGCCTAACCAAGTCCAGATCTAAAGTATCATTCCACCCGATGTTTAATTATCATTTATATATATTCCATATGATAGTACTATAGTAACAACAATAATATCTTTCCTATCTCTCGTGAGTGACAGGTAATCACTCAACTTCTACCGGACCTTATAGCATAGCAATCTACATGATCCTGACATACTAGTAGAACTCATATGATATATATATATATATATATATGCAAGTGGGTTTTCATTCAACTCCTTAAAACTTAATGTAAAAGCATAAAATAAAGTGTAGAATAATAGGGGTTATGCACTGGGGCTTGCCTGGGTGAGATATAACCAAAAATTAGCACTCCATCATGGCGACACAATCATCAGGCACCATCTTTTTCGCTACTTCGGTCGACTTCATGATCCATCATTGTCCCTATTATGATATACGTGGATGCAACGCAGAGACGTAAATAATCAACGGCAATGGCAACTCTAAAATACAATTACGCTCCGTAAGCTAACGAGCTAACTTTAATGACTAACGTACTAGGCTACATATCCACATCGTCAAGTAAGGTTTTGCCTTCCAAAAAAAATATTTTAGTTCTTAAATCCCAAGGTGTTTCGGCATTTTATTGATTAAACATATATTTTTGAACTATGCCCTATTTAGCTATCCTAACAAACTAATTATTATGGAGCTACAAAAATTATAGTGAGCACCTAATAATGTTAAGAATTTACTGTGAAAGTTTCAGAGCCAACACTATCACCAATTTATTATAAAAATTCCTTCAAATTTATATCTTAACAATATTAAGCATCTCAAATTAATTAGATCACTTCTGAAAATATTATAAAACTATGTGAACAAAATATATTAGTAGATAGATCATGATTTTAGGAACCTAACAAAATTGGTTTCACAATTTTTAGTTAACTACACAAATTTATATTGAATTTACAAGTTTGCTTAGAAACTAAATTAGAAAATGCATTAGAAAAAAGGGTCGGTGGCCATTGATTTGGTCCAGTAGCCCCACTTGGCCCAACGCGGGACGCGGGTGCACACAGCAGACCGGCCCAGCAATGACCCAAAGCGGGGAGTTCGCGCACACGCGACTCTTTTGCAAAAGAGACCCTGATCTTTTCTGAAACTACATCACCATTTGTTTACTATTTCCCTCTCTCTCTAACTAATTCATTTCACCCCTTGGCTTCTTCCTAATTTCCCCACGCATGTCCCCGAAGCAAGACGCGCGGCGGCGTGGCGAGCACAGGCACCGAGCGGTCACGCCGGCCATCTAGGGTTCACGCGGACTTACCTAGAGGGTCGATCTCAATCCTCGACCTAAGCGGCTACGCTGGGTGGCGGTGGAGAGCTAGAAGGCGCTCTAGCACATGCTGCAGCAGCGTACAGTGGTGTACGACGACGACGTAGCCGTTCCGGTGAACCTACGCACTCATAGAAGGGTAGAGGTGGTTGAGCAGCATCAATAGCTCACCGTGGTATACTCTATAGTGATGGTTGAAGCTGGGGAGCACTGTGGCGGTCTGGCCA